GAATCAGGGCAGCAGCATGCAGTCTTGCCCCCCAGTTTACATGCTCTGTGGCTATCGAGCTTCTGCCAGGAAGTTGGAAATATGCAGCCTCCAGTGCCCCAGGGCTCCTACTGACCAAAGAAGTGGGGAGTCAAGATGTGAGAGGGTCCAATTAGCTTAGTTTACGACTACGCTATCTCGTGGCCTCCCCTCTTGCAGCCATTTTTCATTGCCCTCTCCTGGGAAATTAGGACTCTTTGCACAGAGAAAACCCATGCTCTTTGCACCAGCACTGCCCAAACACACCTTACATTTCCCCCCTTGAAACGACTCATGTGACTCCATTCCATTGTCTTATGCATCATTGCACCCAAAAGAACATCTCTGATGCGTTAGCGCTGAACGCTGAGCCCGTCACTACCGCCCCATACATACCCCATGCCACTATCTGCCGCCCTCTCTGCCTTTCCTCTGCTCTGATACATTTCCTGAGACACCTATACGTAGCACTTAAGGTTACTTCACTGCTTGGCTGCTGGATCTTATCCTCCAGCTGCTGTGCAGCCACCTTGTGCCTTTTCTGTTTGGATGGTCCATTGAAATGTCAATGTGACATCAAGATGTGACTGGGCCAGTACTGCAGGTGCCTGACCCGTTTGAGAGCAGCTAAGCTGTTAATCATTGGTGTGAGGCACACTCTTACACATACACCCCCACTCAGTGGGGATTGGTACAGGAGGGCTGTTCCAGTGAAGGTCAGAGCAGGTGGCTACCAGTTTGCTAAAGTTGAGTGGCTGGGTTTTGTGCACCAAATTAAAATGTGTAAAGTGAAACCCTGTACACCAGTGGTGGGCAGCCTGCAGGTTCTGTGTGTGGCCCACGAGACATTTTGTTCATTTTGTTCACTCTTGCCCAAGTGCAGGGTTGCCAGATTCCACTGGTTTCCACCCCCATAGTTCTTTTCCTACTGGTATTACTCAAGTGACACACACGTCAAGCAAGGCACATGAAGGCAGGTGCATGCTAATTGCACACAACATTGACAGACCCGTGTGTACCTCCTGCATCCAATCAAAGGGCTGCTATAGTTCAATTGGCACCCCTCCCCCCCCACAAATTCTAGGTACGAAAGCGCAGTGAGCAAAACTTCCCTATTCTGGGAGACCATCCTGGTTATGACAATCTTGCAGCCCACTCATTAGCCTAAGTTGCCCATTGCTGGTATACGCCAAAGAGTCCTACAAAGAAACCTCCCCAAGTAGGCACTTTGTGGCTAGTGAATAATAATGAGACGGCATTTGCATAGCATGTCTTATCTTCCGCGCCAATAGCAGACTGTGATGGACTGTAATCCTGAAACCATGGAACATTGAAGGGCCCTAGGGGAGGCTTTAAATGATTGTAACCGCGAAGGTTTAACTCCCATACCTCCTAGATCAAAGAGAGAGCGTCTCTAATCCTGTCACGGGAAGTGGTGAGGATCCATGAAGTGCCATATGTGTTTGGGTTATGACTGTTTAAACACAGACATATTTTTGAGCTGCCCTCTGAACATTTGGGACCTGATTCAAAGCCTGCCAAAGTTAATGGAGATATTCCCATTGACTTCAGTAGACTTGGAGCAGTTTTACCCTGGGTTTTAGAATGTGGTGGCCCTTTTATAAATTATGTTCTTGTTTGTATTCTGGTAGTACCTAGTAACCCTAGTCAGGGACCAGGGTGTTAAAAGATCTAAAAGAAAGTCCCTGCCACAGAGAGCTGATAATCTCACCACTTCCCTTCCTTACACCTGCACTTCTAGTTTGGGATCCTCTCCTGCTGCTACCACTTTCCTCTCTCCTACGATGGTGGATGTCTCCCCCCTTCTCACTCAGTTAGGAGCCCTCCTCTCTTTTCTTGGTGCTCCAGATGGTGAGGTTACTCTGTGTCAAGAAGATGGTACCCCATCCACATCCTGTTTGGCACCAGTTGTAGCGCTGTGTACCTCTCTCCATCCACCCAGCTCACCAATGCCTTGGATTCCTGACTGCTGTCCATGCCTTCCCATCTTGAGAGGTCCTGTGCTCTCTCACTTCCTGTTGGCTTCCATGGGAGTTGAGGGTGCTCAGCACTTCATGGGAAATAGTCCGGATTTAGCAGCTTGGAGCCCTAGGTGCTACCTCCATCTTCTGATGTATGATTATGTGTAAATTTGCAACTCTAGTTGTTTTCCCTCTTAATTTTATTCAGAAGTAATGGGTAGTTAATACAAAACGCTATATTTCCAGAGCTCTCCCATGTGAACCTACAACCCCTAGCAGTGTCTTCCACTGAGTTCTGTCGTTATTTTGTAGGATACTACTGCAAATATTTTCCTTGTAATTGAATATCATCCTAATTACTTCAGACTATTTCTCCAGTTTGTCAGGATCAATTTGATTTTTAATTGTACGGCCTCTTCGGGACTTACGAACTGGTTACGGACCAAGCAATTGGTCGTAACTCGGTTCGTTCGTAAGTCGGACCCAATTGAGTTTCACGCAACCATGCTGTTTGTAAGCGCGGATCGTGTTTGTAACACGGGGTCCGTCATTTACGACAGCTTTGGTCGTAACTGAGAACGGTCATAAGTCGACCGTTTGCAACTCGGGGACCGGCTGTATCCTCAAAATTCCCCCCTCCCAGTTGGGGATTATCTTCAGACTTTCTAAGTGTACTCTGTATGCCATTATCTAAATCATTGATGAAGATATTGAACCGAACCTGACCCAGAACTTGTATCTTTAGGACCTCATTTAATTTGTAGAAAACTACTCTCTGGAAATGGTTTTCTAACCAGTTATGCACACACCTTATACTAGACTCTATTCCTTTAGTTTGTTTACAAGGTCATGCAGGACAGTATCAAAAACCTCACTAAAGTCAAGTTATATCAAATCTGTCACTTCCGCCCCACCCACAAGGCTTGTCACCTTGTCAAAAGTAGGGTCCCTCTCACTTTTATTGGGGATTCCCTGGTACTGGAACACCTTAGCTCTTTCTGGATATCGGTTAGTACTTTCTGTTTTTTTAATGCCCACTTCAGATTTTTGTCAGCCCTATACTTATGCAGTCCCAGTCTTACCAGTCTCATCCATATAGAAGTTTTTCCATGCCTCTGGTCATCCTGTCTCCTATCTTTGAAAACACCCCTCCTATTATTTCTTGCCTTGTGTGCTTGTTGGAGGGGAGGGCTAGCTTAGTGGTTTGAGCATTAGCCTACTGAGCCCCAGGTTATGAGTTCAGTCTTTGAGGGGGCCCCTTAGAGACCTGGGGCAAATCTGTCAGGGATGGTACTTGGTCCTGCCATGGGGGCAGGGGACTGGACTCAATGACCTCTCAAGGTCCATTTTAGCTCTATGAGATAGGTATATCTCCATAACTTCACAGACTGCCCACAGAGGATATTAATCAACACCAAATTTGAACTGTTGTTGTGTTCCCTGTTTACCTACCTTGACTAGGCCCTTCTGAATTCTTTAAAGTTTTAGTCTTCTTCAAGCTTGGATAATTTATTTTTTTATCATCTATCAGTGTTCCCACCTTGCTGCTTGCCCCCTTTCTAGATCATTGTTCCATATATTATATAGCACTGGTTCCAGTATAGAATCTGAGGAGCAGCCCACTGTTAACAAGGCAGAACAAATATCACCCAGCCTATGCAGAAATGTGCATATTTTCCTTTGTGTGTTTTTCTTGCAGAATAAGCAGGTCTATAAATTCAGTGTGGCAGGTTGGGACTGGACTGCTCAGTCCCTATCTACCATTTCTCTGCTTGCATACATGCACACACTCACTCTTGCAAGTACCTTGTGTGCTTTTAAACATTGTCTGCTCCAGCTAAGTCTGACTTTACCATTATGCAAGAGGGTAGCGTGGTACAATGTTTAATTGCCCATGGTGATGATCAGTGCTTTCTCTGAGGTACATGCCTGGGGAACACCCCCCTTTCTGGGGCTTTGCTAGAGCCTGGTTTACATTATGCTAAGTAAACCCCAATTTACTCCTTCTCCTGCAGAGACATCTTACTTTGTGGCAAGGGCAGTGGCTTTCTGGTTACAGTAGCTCTGTATGATTTGTTAGGTAGATAGCATATAGAGTGTAATACTTTCCTGATAAGGCGAGTAAATAAATAAATGCCAAAATACCTGGTGGCAAGACATTCTAAGCTAACCTATTGCAAACCACTAGTTTTACCTTTTCTCTAAAAGTTCCTCTGGCCTTCCTCTGATTTCCAGTTATTTTCTTTTTTTCTGTCTATAATATGGTTTAAGTCTCATATTCCTTCTTCCCAAGATCCCTCCACACTGCCCTCAGTTTGTGAATCTCCTGTCTGAGTCAACCCAAACTCAAGCAGGGTTTTTGCTAAGAGGATTATTGTTTTGTTATGTTGCCCCCAACCCTCATGCATTTAGTTCTCTGCATTTTTAAGAGTGAATCTCCCTGTTCCCTCTTAGTTCAGTTTAGGGTGATATTGGGACTAAGCAACTGTTCGCTAAATGTGTGCTCCCTCTTTACAGTTCTTTAGCAACCAAAAATGCTAGTCATATGAGCAGCGGGAAGTAAAAGAGTGATGGGTTACATAAGTGATGTAGTAAGTGTGAAGACTCAGTGTAAAAGAAAAACCCAACATAGAACAAACAGGGATACTATTATTATGAGTATGACTAGTGTGGTAGGCACTGTACAAAATGATACATTATGTGAACTATTAAACAAGGAAACAGGGTAAATAGATTTAACATTGGGGAAGCCAGCCCAGAGCAAGGCATTATGTGGAACAAGCTCAGTGTTGGTCCTTTAAGAGTTAAACTCAAAATTTGGCTCCCTGCACCTTTCAACTTGTAAGCAAAAAGACAAAGTAACTGTTTGGGCAGGACATGTAAATGAAGGTCCTGATCCTGGCTAGGATCCTAGGTTAGAACTGAGGAATTCCCCCTTGGCCTAGCTATACTCAGCACTCCTCCTGGGACGAAGCAGACAAGCCCTCTTAATTCGCTGGTGTCTTCCTGATTAGTTAGGTCTCTTTCCAGACCCTCTAGGCTTGTGAAGGAGTAAATTTTAGTGGTATCCAAGCCTGAGTCTCAGGCAGGGGGTGTCCGGGTGTTGACACTTCCAGCCTGGAGCAGAGAAGGCCTGATAGAGCATTGGCCTAACAGCAAGTAGTTCTTATTGTCACTGAGGGATGACAGACATGCTCATTCCTTGCCAATGGTGTACACAATCTCTCCTATGCTGTCTGAAGAAATGATCTAAAAATCCATTTTGCACAGACCTTTCCTCTGAACAACTGGCCCCCTCTCGTAGGCTCCAGTGGGATTGGCACAACCAGGAACTCTGCCCTTCTTTTTCAGTGGTTACTCTGAAATTTAAGGTCTTTGTATATTCCTGCCAGCACTCTCTTCTGAGCTGGAGCAATACACGGCTTCTGGTTAATGTTCAGATTTGCAGTCAGCTGTGAAGTTAAACTAACAGATATCAGAGCCACATCTCTTGCTCCTGGGTTCCCTCCAACAGTGTCCCCAAATGGAACATAGTTATAATCCATTGCACATGTTGTGAATGAGCAAGTCTCACCATCCTGCTGTGAGTTAGGCAAGTAATATCCCCATTTTACAGATGGGAAAAGAGAGGAAGGAAGGTTGTTACTTGCCCATGGCCATATAGTGACTCTCCATTAGATACAGGGTTAGAATTTGGGAGTTCCTGGCTCCCAAGCCTGTGCTCAAGTCACTACGTCTTCTGTCTCTTGCAGAGCAGTTTGTATAGAATGTGTGAAATGGATTGATCAGCGTTCTTTTCCCTTCAGGTCATGTATCTCCCCTGTTGGACTCTCTCTCCTAAGTGCTACTCATAGTCTCATCCCACCTATTAGGGCTCCTTATTATGATAAAGGCTTTCTTTGATAGGACAACAAGTCTTGTGAATAAGGGAGAAGTGGTGGAGATGGTATACCTAGACTTTAGTAAGGCATTTGACACTGTCTCACATGACCTTCTTATCAATAAACTAGGGAAATACAACCTAAATGGGGCTATTATAAGGTGGGTGCATAACTGGCTGGATAACTGTTCTCAGAGAGTAGTTACTAACTGTTCACAGTCATGCTGGAAGGGCATAACAAGTGGGGTTCCACAGGGGTCTGTTTTGGGATCGTTTCTGTTCAATATCTTCATATGTGATTTAAATGATGGCATAGAGAGTATGATTATTAAGTTTGCTGATGATACGAAGCTGGGAGGGGTTGCAACTGCTTTGGAGAATAGGATCATAATTCAAAATGATCTGGATAAACTGGAGAAATGGTCTGAGGTAAACAGGATGAAATTTAATAAGGACAAATGCAAAGTACTCCACTTAGGAAGGAACAATCTGTTTCACACGTACAGAATGGGACGTGACTGTCTAGGAAGGAGCACAGTGGAAAGGGATCTAGGGGTCATAGTGCACCACAAGCTAAATATGAGTCAACAGCATGACACTGTTGCAAAAAAAGCAACTGTGGTGTGGGGTACTATGTTCTCTCCACATTGAGAGTCTAATTGTGGGGCACTCTGCTCCCATTATGAAGGGAGCATGCCAGAGGCAGCATGCTGCCTTGCTGCTTCTCTTTTCACATGCCACGGTCGTGGGTTTCTGGTTTATCATTTCTCTGCCAAATTCATGCCCTGCGCTTCTCTCTGAGCCTTCTCACTCTGTATCCTGAGCAGGAAGAGAGCGGATGAGGATGCTGTTGGCATAACCTATGGCTCTTTAAAGGCATACACAGTGGAAATTCAAAACAACCAGGGAGAGAGCAAATCCAGTTCCTAGGTGTATGACTTGTTATAGGAAAGGGTGGTCCCAGGAGATATCAGGAAATATACCAACTTGCCTTCAAGTTGCCTTGATGTCTCCATTAATGTTGTTTTCATTGCTTCCGTGCTTGGATTCATGTCTCTGTTGTGCCTTTGTTTTCTATTGCAATGCAAGGATCCTGTTTGGGACGGGACACCTGGCCTACTAGCTTCCTCCTCCCACCTGCAGAGCCAGGTACAGTGCTCCTAGTTGGGAATGAGGAAAGAAGAGAGATGGGGGCTGGACCAGAATCACTCTGGGTACCAGTTTGTCTTTTACCATCTGGGTTAGGCCAGGCAAGGTTTCCTCACGGTCCCCTGCTCCCTCAGGTTGTCTTAAAGTGCCAATAGCAAAGCCTGACTGGTCTGAAGCAGGTCTCCTTCAAACACCCACACAAGCATAGAAGTCGCCCTGCTGGATCAATCTAGTCTGGCATCTTGTCTTGGGCCGGGGCAGTTTCCTGACATGATTTCCGACATGCACCATGTCTAGCCAGTCATGCAATTCTGTATTTGTCCCCCAGGTGGTGATCAAAAGATTTAAGTCATCATAAGCAAAACTGTCCCTCGTTTTGGCTCTGTTCTGCAAGATTTCACGATGAAAGGAACTTACCGTGTTAAAGCTGCCCATTGTATTTATGGAGTAACTAACTGCACTTCGACTGTGACTCTAGACCAGTGATCTTCCAAAGCCAGACTCTGACATGCATGGGGACTGCTCCTCAGTCCCTGTGTTTGAATCCCCTGCTGACATGGCCAGGCCTAGTTTTGCTTTTTCCTTACACAGGCGGCCTCCGTCCAGTCATTATGTCCATGAAGCCACTAGTTTGAATATTTAGCAAAAATAAATATAGTGTAGTGCAGGCAAAAGCCTGCATCAGTAGTAATTGGAGCTCCACTTCTCTGCTGTTCATCACAGTCCCAGTGAAGTTCTGATGTTCCAAAGTACATGGGCAGTACCAGAGGGGCAATTCTACCCCCACGTAGCAGGTATGTTACATTCGAACCGGTTCTTGGCAGTTGCCTGCATGGTCTGACTCATCTTCTTGCTCACTTTGGGGGCAGTGCACATACAAAGCGATTGCATCTCAGGCGTGGTCGATGGATCTCCCGTGCACTCTATCACATCTCAATGCCCATATCGTGTCTGAGGTGCCTGCTGGTGGCCACAGTCTTGTGGAGAAGTAACCTCACCTGCAACCACAGCAAGGACGCAGAGGCCTCTGCTCCAAGCTCCCCTGCCAAGTTGCCTCAGGCAGAGGTAGAGGTCACTTCAAAGCAAAAGCCTCCCGCTCCCATTCCAATGACAGACTCCTGATACATCCAGTGAATGGTTCATAGGAGCTGAGAGTCACCTTGCCGTCCATGCGGCCACAGGGGTGGCCATCAGGAGAAGGGACATTGCTGCCCTTTAAGACTCTTTCAGTTCGTGGGGCCTTTTGCTGGAAAACCCTGTGATGCTATCTGCCCGCCTGGCCTCCCAAGAATGCTGCTGTGCATGTGCAGCTGGCAAGAAAAGAGGAGCCCCGATGAAGATCTCTCTGCCCTAGTCTGCTCACTTTCCCTCTTGCATGCCCCTTGGGATGGACTCAGTGGAACAGAACACCCAACTTTGGTCCAGTGGGGCCTTTGGGCCCTGCGCTTAGGAGGGGCTTTGCCAAATGGTGGTTGCTGTGGAAAAAGGTTTGTGTACAGGAGATCACGCTCCTTTCCCGTTCCACATTCGCCTCCCCTGCAACAGACATCAGGACCCCTCTGTGTAGGAAAGACAACTGCCTGCTTCTTTCACTCTTTTCCATACCTTGTGCTGGGGCAAATTGGACTAGGGTAATTTCTAGCAAACTCCTTCACCCCGCCTGCCTGTTTACAGTTTAGAGTCTTTGCATTACTGGGGAGAAGGCAACTCCCTCGACCCAGCCCTGAGCTGCTCCAACTCCCTCTCCTGGGGCTTCGAGAGCCTTCATATGCAATCACTGGGGAAGCAGCAAAGGAACCCATGTTCTCTCACTCATGCAAGAGGTCGCTGCCCCTCCCGGGAATGCTGCCTGCTAGATCCCTGCTCCACATTGCCCCGGCATGAAGGCTATAAAGAAACTCAAGCACTCTTCATGTGCCATTCTCATGTGACTTTTTTGTACCTATGTATGAAAGATCTAAACTAATATTGCTGTAAAGATACAAATTAATATAGCATATTATATAAAGATATATGTATATAAAGGGTTCTGTATATTGCATAGAGCAGTGTATAAAATGGATGTAGAAGTATGCTTGGTGTGTGTGCCTGCCCCAAGCTTGGTTTGGGAAAATGGGGGAGCTATATAGTTAGGCTGTTGGGATATTCTAAAGGACTGTGAGCAAGGATGGCAGAGTTGGGAGAAAATAACCCTGTCTTTCTTGCCAAGCCTCAGGGAACAACCAGATACTGCTCCATTGTTAAGGCTGCTTGGGGGGTTCTGTGACAAGATGTGAGGCTACATCTGGAGTATTGCATCCAATTCTGGGCCCCCCACTATAGAAAAGTCGTGGGTGCATTGGAGAGGGTCCAGTGGCGGGCAACCAAAATGATGAGGGGGCTGGAGCACATGACCTACTAGGAGAGGCTGAGGGATTTGGGCTTATTTAGTCTACAGAAGAGAAGAGTGAGGGGGGATTTGATAGCAGCCTTCAACTTCCTGAAGGGGGGTTCCAAAGAGGATGGAGAGAGGCTGGTCTCAGTGGTGACAGATGGCAGAGCAATGAGGAGCAATGGTCTCAAGTTACACTAGGGGAGGTCTAGGTTGGATATTAGGAAAAACTATTGCCCTAGGAGCATGGTGGAATCTCCATCCCTAGAGGTTTGTAAGTGTCCACTTGACTAAGCCCCGGCTGGGATGATGTAGTTGGGGTTGGCCCCGCTTTGGGCAGGGGGCTGGACTTGATGACCTCCTGAGGGCTCTTCCAGCCCTAGGATCCTATGAGACATTCAGATGTTGCTGAGATCAACCCCTGAGGTCATGTATCTCCCCTTCATAGACCCCGGGTTCTGTATCTTTCCCTCCATGGAGCTCTAGACTCCTATTTCCTCTCCTCCTTGGGCCCTACATGTCCTTTCCTGTTCTCAATCCCTGCACCCACTCTGACCTCTAAGCCTTGTCCCTCCCCCTGAAAATCCCAACCTCTCTGTGTCCCTGGGCAGCTCAACATGGATCATAAAGGAGAATCCTGGTAGCAACAGGAAATTCCATGATCAAAATGAGAAAATGCAACCTCTTTGTCTTCCTCCTAATAAGGCGTTGACTAAGAACATAAGGGTAGCAGGGTGTTTGCTGCTCGTGACTGTCAGCGGTCTGAAATCAACATACGGAGAAATGGGGCTAACATGAGCAAGGGTGATAGAGTAAAAGAAACAGCTCTTTTTGGGTAAAGGAGCGCAGCAGGGAAGAAAGTGTGAAAATCCACCCTTGGGGCAGAATGCTGGAAAGATGCCGTCAGAAAGAGGCCATAATCTTTCTGCAAAAGAAACATGCAAGGAAGCTTCCCAGAGGTCTGAGGCGTAAAAGCTCTTCGAGGCAAAGGATTTATCTTAATCCATGCTTGTAAAGCTGTGTGTGAATGTAAAACGCTGCTCACATTTTTATGAATAATAATAGTAGACCTCTCTTGGCAATGGAAAATGACCAAAGGAACCAGACAACAATACACAGATAAGGAGACTATGGGGAGCAATCTGGATAAGATGCAGCATAAAGGAGTTAGGGAAGGGGTGGGCAATAATTTTTTGCCAAGGGCCACTTCAGAAATGTTTTAAATGGCCCCAGACTGCACCAGAAGGGGCGGGGCCTCAAGCAGAAGGGGCGGGGTCAGGCTACTTCCCTGCTTCCCCACCCATAGACCATGATTGGCCTTTGCTGCCCCCCAGAGGTTCCCCCTAGGTACCCATGCCCCTGGTGGTGGGAGGAGTCTTCTGCCCCCAGGCCAATCAGGGCTTGGGGGTGGGGGAATGCACAAAGTCTCCTTCCGCCCTGCCAGGAGCCGCGTGTTCCTGGCAGGGCGGAGGAAACTTCATGCGCTTGCCTCCTCCCCCAGGTCCTAATTGGCTTGGAGGCAGGGGAGCAGCAGGGCCTCCGCAGGCCAGATCAACGCATCTGGCAGGCCTCATTCGGCCCGCGGCAGCCCTTTTGCCCCGGTTTAGGGGAACAGGAGCCATGGACAGATGTTAAGAAATACATGGCAGAGGGAAGGAGTGCTAGAAAGAAAATAGCCTAGACTAGATGTCCCTCATGGTCTCTTTTAACCCTATGACTCTGTGATTCATAAACCAAGTGAAATAATTTCCTGATTATGATGACTATTCCCAAGTGAAACCCCGATATGTCGGGGGAATTAATAACAACTCCTAAAATGGCAGAACAGACTCTCTGGATGTGAAACATCTTACATTGTTAAGGGAACTAGCTGATGAAGCACTGACAATTATTTTTGAAAAGTCAGGGAGTACTGTGCAGGCACGAGAACTGGAGAAGCAAATGCGATGACTGATCTTCTACAAAGTAAAAAAAAAAAGAAAAGAAAAGACATCTAGCAATTACCATCTGGTACGTAATTTCTATTCCTAAACGAGAATGAGAGCCAATCTGTTGGGGTTATCCAGGCAATGATGGTTTGAACGGACTCCAGGACAAATCACACCAAACAATCTTGATCATGGTTAATCAGATTCCAAAACTGGCAGACAAAGTCACAACCTGTGTCTTTGTATCATGCTTAGGACTTTTTACTAAATCATCTGGGAGAGTATTTTTCAGTCTTTGAAAAAGTTTGTTCAGATGATCTCAGCTGGCAGGCCTGCAAGCAGACTAGAGCTGTTCTAAGTGGTTGTATGTCAAGTGGGGAGCAAAGTATGATCTAGATGGTACTTGGTCCTGCCGTGAGGGCAGGGGACTGGACTCGATGACCTCTCGAGGTCCCTTCCAGTTCTAGTGTTCTGTGATTCTGTGAAGTGCTAATGGGATGCTCAAAGAACCATTGGCTAGGCCCAGTTTTATGTCGGATCTCATCTGGGCAGAAGGGATCGACACATTATTTTAAATGGGTGGCATTGGAGGAAGGTAGATGAATGACATAGGATGCCTTGTCCAACCCAGTTATGTAGCATTACCCTGAGCAGTGTGGCTTTTAAACTGGAAGGGGTGCCAGTGCCACATCAGTGGAGTAATATCTGCTGAGTAAAGTAATTCTCTCCTGCAGCAGGTGGCACTGTCCCCCCTTGCATTCAGCCTCGCTCTTCCTATTGCAGAATCCCCACTTCCTGGGAGTTTCAGGCTCCCTCCTGCTCTGAGCCAACCCAGCAGTCTTTGCTCCTGGGGGACATGTCCTGGGGAAAGTTCTCCGGTGGCTTGCTGGAGTAGTTCCCTGACCAGTGCGCCTGCATCGGGCACTTGTATCTTGCACAAGGGCGTTGCAAGGTATCCTGTAGATATAATGACAGGACTATTTTATAGAGAAGATGCAGCATAAAGGAGTTAGGGAAGGGGTGGGCAACAATTTTTTGCCAGGGGCCACTTCAGAAGTTTTTTAAATGGCCCCAGGCTGCACTGGAATGGGTGGGGCCTCAAGCAGAAGGGGCGGGGTCAGAATACTTCCCTGCTTCCCACCCCCAGACCATGATTGGCCTGGGGGTGGGGGGGTGCCTTTGCCCCTGGTGGTGAGAGGAGACTTTGTGCGCTCCCTCTTCTGCCCCCAGGCCAATCAGAGCTTGGGGGCCGAGGAGTGAGTGAAACCTCTATCCGACTTTGCCAGAACGCGTGGCGCTTTCAAATGTCATGTGCTCCTTTTCGGACAAGGGCAAGGTCCGCCCTGCCATGAGCTGCGCACTTTGGACAGCGTGGAGGAATCTTCATGTGCTTCTCCTCACCCCCAGACCCTAACTGGCCGGGGGGCGGGGGAGCGGCAGGGTCTCTAAGGGCCGGATTCAGCCCATGGAGGCTGGGCTTGAGTTACGGATGCCTGGGGTGGGGTGGGGGGGGCTTTGAAGCCCGAGCTTGACTTCAAAGCTCTGCCGACCCAGCTGGTTTTGGAACTAGGAGTGCCAGATGGTTTCAACAAAAACACCGGACACACCTGACATGACATCACAATCGACATCCCAGCTTATTTAGAAAATTGATATTTTCTCATTTCTATTTTCTCAATTTGTTTCCCGAACAGAAAGCTCAAATACTGGCCTGTCTGGTTCAAACCTGGACACCTGGCAACCCTATTTGGAGCACTAATATGAGCCCTGCTGGCCCAAGTGTGTCATCCTGCGTTGTGAGACTAGCTTCTGTGGGCTGCCTAGCCATGTCCAGGGCACCCCAGTGGGCTGAGCACTAGATGGGGACTCTGGAGGCATGAGTTCTAATCCTCTTCCTCCTGGTTGACTCCTTCTTTTCTAGTGCCTACAGTACAGTCAGGTGTGACCTACCTGATCTGGCTAGTAGTGGAGCCACAAAGGTATGCTGTATCGAGGCAGGAACTTAGTGCCTGTGGGCTGCTGGCTTTTAAGCTGGCTCCCCGTGCATGCTGCCCCCTGTGCTGCTGTGTCTGTATCAGAAGTACCAGCACCCACCTGCCTCCTCTGTGTAAACATGTAACTGCCCAAAAAAATCCAGTGGTTACATGTTTACACAAACAGTTTAACATCCCTAACTCTCACTCTCACAGATGCCTTCTGTGCCTCTGTGCCCCGTCTGCCTAGTTGGAATGTGAGCTCTTAGGGGCAAGGGCTGATAGGTACTCAGCGCAGAGAGGCCCTGGTCTCAGTTGGGGCTCTTGCAATAGAAACAGGAGCAGCACTTGCTTCCTCCTTTGAACGCATCCACCCTACTAGACCTTCCGTTTAGGTATATTTAGAGATTAGGTCAATTAAAGCTATTTTAACTTATTGTTATGGCTCCCTATGAGCCCTAGACAGGTGGACAGATGGCAATTGTGGATAGGCGTGATGCACAGAACACTTCCGGTGCGGTTTTGGTTCCATCTGAACACAAAGGGAAGTCACCTGCCACGCCGGGATGGACGTTTCAGAAGAGGCTGGTACATCACTTGCTTCTCTATGTTTTGAAAGGAACAAAGAACTGTGCCTTTTCGGTGTGACTCAGCTCCCACTGAAGTCAATGAGCCCCACTGACTTCAGAGGTGGTCAGGAGAGCCCTTTTAAGCATGGCGTCCTGCGGGGCAGAGTTTTGCAACTCCATCGCTC